ACACTTTTGTGGGAGATAATATTTTCACTTTTAAATGTGTGACAATATTTTTGCAAAATATCTAATGGTGTGTCTTACAAAGGTATTTAAGGAAAAATAAGGTTGTAGGCACAATTTTTAAGCAATCAAGAATGTTTATATAACACAAACAAAAGACATTTACGGAAGGGGAAAGCATACATTATTGATATCATAAAGGAAATGCATTACAGGAAAGAAACGATAAACAGAAAATGTGAGATAAATAAAAGTACATAAAGGGAAACTTAGAATGACGAAGGTAAAAGGTGCGTAATTTAAAAGTGGATTTTTATTTTACACTTCTATTTCTATTATTTTAGTTGTAAGTCATTCTAAGTTTTAGGGTATCTTTTGGCAGAGTTCTGGGACTTCATCAATTTTGTTGTTTTCCATTTCTGTTGGTCCTTCTTCTTCTTTATCTTTGAAGTGTGAGTCTTTTTCTATCTCTCCATTCCTGATGTGAATTCTTATTTCTCTTAGGATGCTAAGGTTAATTTTGTGGTTTGTTGGATCTTCTACTTCACCAGTTATTTCAATATTAAATATGGTGATAATTTTTGTGATAAGTGGACAGTAAGATAGTCTTGTTGTTGGATTTTCTCTACAGCATATCATTTGTCTGAAAATACTGTTGGTTTAGAGTTCTAGACTGCATTGCCTGCAAAAAAATTAAATATGTTATTCTGATTTTTCTTTCAATCTCCTCTCTTCCTCGTGGGGTGTCTTTGAGCATGTGTTCTCTTCTTTGTTGGAATACGGTTCTTTATATTTCTCCCAAGGTTGAAATATTTCCTCTTCTTTGTTCAACTGTTGAAGAAACTTCTTCATCTTCTTTGTTGTTCTTTGAACGTGAGATTTCCTTGATTAATATTGATTTGAATTGGAACATGATATGACATGAGTGATGATCTTCCTGTTTTGATCTTTTGATTGCATCAGTTTTTATTATTTCTTTCTTTTTTGATTTTCCTGAAATTCATGAAGAATTTCTATCTATAGATTAAGAGGTTGGAAAAGTTTTCCGATTTTTAATTCTCTAGATAAATGTTAGTAGAAAAATATAAAGTTTCAAGAAAGAAGTATTTTTGCCTCATGTGTTCATATCCTTTGGTTTGATACTTGGAGAGACTCCATATATCTTTTTCAAAGTATCCTATATTTCCTTGGCAAAAAGATAAAAATTTAGATTTTGAAATCTATATCTATTTTTCTTCTTCGGTCCATAGATAGAATACGATTTTTCCACTTCTCCATCATTGACTTGATGAATAAAGGTAAAACAGACCATTGAATAAGTTTTTTTAAGAAAGTGTTTTCAAGAAAAACTCATGTATATAAAAGAAGGAATAATTTTAAATAAAAAAAGGTGGTGGTGAGTATTGAAAAGAATCTTTTGTTAAAAGTCATCTTCCTCCAGAGACGATTAGTCCTTAAACAGGAGTTAGGCTCAGATTCCACTTATTAAACTTAAGACTTCACACACAAAAGGAATGAATTGTGTGGTTTGGAAAAACATGGTTTTGAAAAAATTTCGAGATTAAAATTAGAGTTTGAAAAAAAATTCTAAAACTTGAGTAGTAGAAAATAAATATTAAAAATGTTGAAATAAAATAAACGGGACACCGAGAATTATAGAGGTTCGCTCAAATCAAAAGGACCTACTCCTCTTCCCAAGAACTAGTCATGAGAGTTTCCATTATATACTTGAGAGCTTTTAGTAGGTTAAGCTCACGAACCCCCTTAAGGAAATGGTGGTTGTCCTACAACCGTAATAATACAAGACATAAGATATGATCATTTGCGTCGTCTCTATGGAAATTGATGAGACTGGAGTGGACAAGCTTCCTTCCCATTTGTAGATTGAAGTGATTAAAATTCTCTCCACAAAAATAATTGAGCTTAATATTGTTTAACAGTATAACCATTAATCTCTTGAAATTTTAACAGATTGATCTTCTAACTTATGGTTTTAAACGGGATAGCCATGAACCTAATGGTAAGTTCATCAATATTGATAATCTTCAACCTTCAAATAAACAAGGCTTACAAAGAGCCTTAAGGAAAGTTCATAAATATTAACTATCTTCAACCTAATCAAACATGAGAACTAATCACACAATCCCTAACCAAAGATTTTCTCGGGTTTAGCTTCTAACCACATATTTTTATCCCTAAAATGGATTGTATTCATCCAAGGTGCATAAACAACAACCTTGAAGAACTTATACATTTCCACCCATCAATAATTGCATAGACACATCACCCACAAAATATTTTTCCTCACAAAAGTATTTGGCTATAAGAATTAGTGAGATAAATTGAAGATGAAAACTAAGAGGGAGGGAGAGAGAGAGAGAGAGAGAGAGAGAGAGAGAGAGAGAGAGTTTCTATACACAATTAGTTTTCTGGATGCTTTGAATCGAGGAATGAGACATCTATTTATATGATTCAAATCCTCCAAAAGAGGAAACATCATTGAATAAAAAATGGCGGTTACTAATCGATTAAGCCAATCAATAAGATCATTTAAATATAACAGTTATGAGTTCCGAAATAGGAGGGAATTGATATAAAGTTGTTACATATGATATGAGCGCGTCCAAATAGCCTTGTGCCTCAAGATAGTGATAATCTAATTGATTAGCACTAAGTTTCAATTAATTAGATCCAGTCAAAAATAATTCTTTACTTTTTGAATGCTCTCATATATGTTTATGTAACTTCTATATACTTCCCAAGGTTTATTCTTTTCAAAAACATTTTATAAAAGAGTTTTAATTGTGTGTGTATGCTTATAGGCATCTACTTCTATAAAGAAATAAGTTTTGCTTTTTCAAAAGTTCCACTCACTTACTTAATTAGGATGACTTCCCTAAACATATGTCTGATGTATTCATTATGTTGACACTTTGCTTGAGATCTCCTTTTGACGCTTGTGATGTAGTCTATTTGTTTACCTTTGTTTGAGACTTTGTTGATGAGGCTTTGTCTTTGTCTGAAATATTGTAAATCATTATCAAACTCATGGCTTACATCTTTTAACCGCTTAAGTACATTGGTTGATTTTATTTAATGGTTGCATATTTGTTATGTTGAATGCCATATTTTCTGATTTGTATCTTTATCGAGATGATTGTGCATTATGTTCTTCACAGTTGTCATCATCAAAACAACATATATTACCTGCAAAACAAAGTTCCACAGAGGTTCCTGTTGGGGAGTTTATAGGTTGAGAACGAAGTCAAGGCTCTTAAACCTTGTTTTAGTGAGGGAAATTTTACAATGGCCTCTAATCATCATTTGATTAATGATAAGGTAAGAATGAGATTTTACCATCTCAAGGATATTATTATGCTGGCCTTGGTTATTATACTTTGAATGTGATTGAAGGGTTGCAAAACTCAAAAACATAGACCTTCAAAGAGGCATTTGAAAGCAAAGAAAGTCAAAGATGGTTGAAGAATCATACTTGTGGGCTTGCTAGACTTCCTAAGCATAAAAAGGTGGTTGGATGCAAGTGGAAAGACCAATGTTCAAGCATGACTTGGACTTAATCAATGGTGTTGAATAATGATTAAACTTTGGAGAGAACTGCAAGGTGGTTGATGGGTAAATTAGAATCACCGTCAGTTTTGAGTTAAGGTGAAGATTTGTGAAAGTGTGCCTCAAAACCTTAAATGATGAAGAGAAAGAAAACATGTTTCTAGATTGTCAAAAATCACAGAGCACAAACGATTAGAATCTACAGACGAAGCCACGATAGTCTACACATCGACGAAGTACAGAAGTCGGTGGTGATCTGCGATAGAGGCAGAGTCGCAGCTGGACGACAATGGGTTTGTGGTGGTCCCGAAGAATCAAGGGTTTTAGGTTATGTTAGTTCAATTTGCCGATTCATTTGGTGATGGGTCGTATTTTTGTCTCGTTTTGGTTCTTTAGGCTTTTTTTCATTATAAATATGTATATCTATCACTTTGTTAGTGAATAGGGAAAGACAATGAGAATTGGTGGTAATTCTGTTTAGAAAGGTAATAGTAGAAATTTCTTAAAGTTTTTGAAATTTGACTTATCTTTGGAGGTATTTAAGAGGGTTGAGAAACACTCATAAATATTTTGGTTTGTGCGATTCAAGTTGAAAAGATTGGAAAACTATGATGCATAGGCACGAGTACAATATTCAGTGTGGATACCTGTATGGGATATAATATTTAAAAATATTATGAGTACATTTATAAAGAATAAGAGTTTTTTTTTATGAAATGTACCGGTAAATAACTAAGTTGTTAAGTTCACAACAAAACATCACTTTAAAAGTTTAATAAAGTAAAAAATAATGTTAAATTATAATAATAAAGAAATTAAAATATATAAATGTGTTATATTAATATTTAAGAAAATCACAAATCTTAGTTAAAATTGAATAATGTGAAAAAATAAAGTTCCACAAATGAGATACCTATACCCGGTATGGCGTATATTGGGTACCGATATTTCACAATTTTTGAACTACTCATGCTTTAGAGTTGGAATTTACAGAATTTTTTCCCAGAATGCCACGTTATTGAAATCAATTTCCTAGAATGCCACCTTCTAAAAATAATTGCCCAAAGTGCCACACCCAGGGGTGGTTCACGCTATTTCAAATAGCGCGAATGTGGGCTGCAAGGGTTCTCTCCATTTCGAATGGCGTGAAAGGGCCTGAATAATATTTTTTTTTCGTTTTCTTCTTTTTACTATATTTATATTAATAATTTTAATTATTTAATTTTATTATTAATTACAAATAATTTAATAAACTATTTAATTATAAAATTAATTAATAAAATATTAATTTAAAAACTTAAATAATTATAAACTTAAAATAACTATTTAACAATTACAATTAAATAATATAAAAAAATTATTAAGTAATAAAATTTTACAATTACAATCAAAATACTAAATAAAAAAATACAGTTAAAATTTCACAATTATACTATTTAATGCTGATGACCCGGTCTGAAACGAGCACCGGTAAAACAATAACACGGTCGCGGAGCACGATGACCAAAACCATATTGTTGTTGGGTCTCTGTTGTTGGAGGATTTTGTTGTGTTGCATCTGATGTTGGAGGATTTTCTTGACTAGGAGTTGTAGCTTACGGAGGAGACCAAATGCTTTCCAGTAAATCATAATCACTGACGTTAAGATCCTCGCCAAAATTATATTGCGGTTGTTGTGGCGGACACATGGTTGGAAAATAAGGCGTTGTAGGGTTATGTTGGGAGGAGGGGGAACCGAAGTTTGGTCGCTGGTTAGGAGTGAGATTGCGGGTATTGGGTGTTAAGGGGTTGATTTTGGTAAAAATAAGGGGCATGAGTTTGTAGCTGAGAAAAATGAGGGTTAGAAGTTTGTTGTTCAGGATAATGGGGGATGGGTGTTTGATGTTGGGAAAAGTGAGGAGTTTGTTGTTGAGAGCCACTTGCCTGAGTAGGGGCATATTGACTTTGACGAGGGTCGGTGAGAAATTGTTCGTACAATGCATATCTATATGGAAGCGAGTGATACCATTGCATGTACTCATTTGACGGTTTCTCCTCTATTTGTAATTGATCTCCATCCAACGTAAACAATTCTCGATGCAACCAACAGTTTTGTTCATCAGAGTATAATGTGGTATATGCTTTTTGGCGCGCTTTTATTGTTGTCATCTTATGGTGTTCAGCCAGGCATCGAGGTTCTTCAGGTATCCCTTGTAAATGGCCAAATTGTAGTTTGACCCTATCTGCTTGATGCATTTCTACAATATGAAAACATATTATATACGTAGTTGAACTCCATATCAAACTGTTTGCGTGCCTTTGGGGCGCTAATCCAAGATACGGCCTCCAAATAAACTAAAAAGTTATAGATAAAATTTGTTAGTTTAACCAAAATAAAATTCATAAATTTATAAGAAGTATTAAAGTGAAGACAAAAAAACCTGATCTTGAAGCATGTGATCAATCTTGAATCGGTATCCTTGTAGATGGTGGCGCGGGTTGTTTTGGTAGTCAAGTTTCTTGATGCACCACCTAAAAAGAATTTAAAATTAAACTTTATTTTAAAGTATCCTAACAATTTTAATTATATTTAAATTTAAATTAAAATATTACCTTCTTGTATAAGGATATGGAGCTTGAAGCGGAGCCACCGGAGATATAATAGGCATGCGTGTAAAAGTCCAAGCTTGAAGAAGTAAAACGCATCCTGACATCTCTGTTACTTTTATGTCTACAGACTTGCACATTTCCCTATATAGATTAGCTAAAACGGCGGAACCCCAACTCAATTTTCCACAATCTTCCAAATCCACAACAAATTGTGTCTATTTTGAGTGTATAGTATTACCGCTTTTGTTAGAAAACAAAACTTATCCGATAAGCAGTAAGATATAAATACGAGCATGTTTAATTTTATACTCCTCAGGTGATTCCTCAGTTGGTGGTTCATGTTGGTACATGTCTTTAAGCCATGTCAACCTCGCAGTCATTCCCTTATCACTTTGTGGTGGTTAAAATAGAACTCCACGCACCACCACTTAGCTCGGATGGACCATTTATTGCTTTACCATCTACAGGAAGCCCCAATAACATACTCACATCTTCCAATATAATTGTGCATTCACTGTTTGGAAGATGAAATGTATGAGTTTCGGGTCTCCACCATTCTAGTAAGGCTATAATTAACCTTGAATCGATGTGTGTGGACTCTATTGTAGATATATGGTAGAAACCAGATTGGTGAAGGTAAGGGATTATGATAACATGTGGCTTTAGAGGTTTGTGAGCACGAATTCTCCATTTTGAAATATAAGTATCATCAATCTGTAATAGAAATAAGTAATATAGAAAAATATCCAACATTTCTATGCAACAAAGTTTTATGAATAAAACTAATATTGTAAACTCAAAAATAAATAATATGAATAATATTGAATAAATCAAAAATACTTACAACATTGATATTTTCTACTGTCCCCCTATGTTGTGTACCATACCAAAACATATTGGCCATAATTGTGAAAATGAAGAACTGATTGAAGACTTATCAAAAGAGAGTAGAGAGTGTGTAGTGAATAGAATGTAGTGTGTTTGTGGAAAAATGAGGTGAGAGTGATTGAGTATTTATAGGGAAAAATTGAGAGTGATGATAGTTGGTTGTTAGTTGAATAATTTAATTAACTGTGGTTGGTAGGTAGTAGAGTAATTTAATTAGAGTTGGTAGGTAGTAGAGTAATTTAATGAAAGTTGAATAAATATAAATTTGTATACTTATTGAGAATATTGTATATTACACGGTTTTGTACATAATGATAAAACTTCATCGGCTGATCTACTGAATCTGACATACAACTCAAGTGGTGTTTTATTAGCACCAATTCGAAAATCCTCAACACTCCATTTTCGTTGATTGTAGCCCGGTTGAAAGATATCTCTATAATGCTCCTATTAATATTTGTGATTTGACGTAATTGATTTTTCAAGTGAATGAGTTTAGATCTTTCCATAAGCCGTACAACCAAAGGATTAGAAAATGCGTTTCTATAATCAAACATAGCAACTTGTGAATTATACGGAATAATGTATACTAAGCAAAGTATCAGAGTCATTTTAATATGAAAACAGAATCGTTTTATGTTGCATTTATATGCATGACACATATGCTATTCACGCCAGCATCCATGTTCTCATGCAATTTGACTTGGCGCCTACCAATGCTTCACGCCATTTGAGTTGGCGCGAGTGTACCCTGACCATGTTCATGCCATTTGAGTTGGCGACAGCATGCGTGCAATAAATCCAACAACATAGTTGTTTGTTTATTAATACATGCATGCAATAAATCCAACATAGCTATTTGTTTATTAATACCAACGTAGTTGTCTCTTATTCAAACAATTGAATATTACTTCAAACACAATGCCACAAAATCATATTTCTTGTCTCTTACATTTCAATGGTAATATTTTTACCGACGATAATATTGGAGTGGTCTTTCAAAATATAGATACACATATTTTAAATATTCATCGAAAAAGTGATTTAGCCCACTTGACGAAAAAAATAGAAGAAACTTTACAACATGTAACTTATATTTTTTATCGATTTCCAATAGTTAATCCAGTTGATCACAATGTCACATACAACACTGCAAAAATCGAAGACGATGAAGATGTCTGTTCAATGCTTCAATGCCACTTAAGGTTTTACAGTCAACAAACAATGGAGTTGTATATTTGTTTTCAACAACTGCATGAAGTATATCCAACTCAATCATCACGAACTCATGCATATCAACAAAGTCAGGTCTCCCAACAAGAAGAGTCTGTCCAAGCACAACATAACGAGCCAATATTTCCGGAAGAGGAAGTGGGTGATGATACTGACTCCGACGATGCAAGACAAATTAATTTGTTTAGTGGGTCCAGTGACGAGTCAGGTGACGATGACAGACTGGAGGCAGACCCGACTCATATACTTAATCTATAGAACCCACCTTATCACTTAAGAAATGTTTCATTTGAATGTGTGGAACCAATTTCAGTCTTTGAACCCTTAGACGAACGAGAGTCACATGAAGACTTAAAGGTTGGTATGACGTTTGAAAACAAAGAAGCATGTCTCCATGCAATATCTGAGTATCACATAAAAAATTCTTATACTTTTAAGGTTTGTAAGTCTGATCCGACACGATATTTAATTAAATGTAAAAAGGAGGGATGCAACTTCACATGTAGAGCTTCGTTAAGGGAGGGGTGTGGTAAATGGGTTATTGGCAGAATTGGAGGGCCACACACTTGCATGTCGACTGTTGTATCTCAAGATCACCAAAAGCTTACCTCAAAGATGATCGCCCATAACATCAGACCTCTTGTTGGCAGTGACGCGGCAATCAAGGTTAGACATATTATTGCTCATATTCGTACGACTTATGGCTACACCGTGTCTTACAAAAAGGCATGGATTGCAAAGAACAAAGCAATCAAAGATATTTATGGCAATTGGGAGGCCTCTTACAACAACCTTCCGCAGTGGTTGTTAGTCATGCAATAATTTCTCCCATGTACCGTCATAAATCTTGAAACACTTCCTATATATTTAAATGAAGAAACACAAATTGGTGGTGCAAGAATTTTCCATCGCCTTTTTTGGGCATTTCAACCTTGTATTAGGGGTTTCGCACATTGTAAACCTATAGTGTAGGTAGATGGTACATGGATATATGGAAAATATAGGGGAACAATGCTCCTGGCTGTTGCATAAGATGGGAATGGTAACATTTTCCCAATCGCATATGCATTGGTCGAAGGTGATACCGGGGGGCTTGGAGTTTCTTTCTGAAAAATTTGAGACTCCACGTCACACCCCAATCAGACTTATGTTTGATATCTGATCGACATGAGTCCATTAAGAGTGCCTATAATAACCCAGATAATGGCTGGCAGAACCCACCCTCGGTGCATGTGTATTGCATTAGGCATATCGCACAAAACTTCATGCGAGCCATCAAGGACAAAAACCTTCGCAAGACAGTTGTTAACATGGGTAATTACTCTCTAATTTTTAACTTGGCATTTCAATATATAGTTCTTTTATATTAATGTTTTTAATGCTTTTACGCAGGGTATGCAATTAATGAGTCTACATACGCATATTATCGGGAGGAGATCCGCCAAACAAACATAGAGGCTTTCAATTGGATAGAGAACCTTCCAAGAGAAAAATGGTCGCGAGCTTAGGACGGAGGAGCACGATGGGGTCACATGACAACCAACCTTGCTGAATCTTTGAACTCGATGTGGAAGGAAACCTGAAACCTACCTATTACATCACTTGTAAGATCAACATACTACAGGATGGGAACATTGTGGGGTAAGCGAGGAAAGGATTGGACAAAAAAAATTGTCATCGGGAAAGGAATTCACATATAACTGCATGAAAGGAATTGCAGAAGAAGTAGAAAAATCCCACAGTTATAATGTCTTGGCTTTTGACCGTGAAAGTCACTATTTCGTGGTTCAGGAGACAGTTAATAATAGGAATTGTCGGCCACTTACTCATTTCAACGTCAACCTCCAAACACGAACTTGTGACTGTGGAAGATTTCAAACTTTTCATCTGCCTTGCTCACATGCTATCGCAGCGTGTTCTCACATTAACCACGACTATACTACGTTTATTCCTGACTTGTATAGAGTTATAAACGTCTTCAAAGTTTACATACAAAGTTTCCTCGGTGTTCCCCAAGAAGATAGTTGGCCTCCATATTTGGGCGATACTCTTTTGCATGATGAAAGGATGCGACGAAACAAAAAAGATCGCCCGAACAGTACTCGCATTAGAACTGAAATGGACACTGTTGAGAAAATAAAAAGACGATGCGGTATCTGTCAACAACCACACATGCGGAAAAAATGTCCGCATCGCCTCAACAATGCAGACCCTTCTAACTAATTTTATCCATGTATTGTTATTTATAACTACTTTTAACTGTATTTTTTTATTTAGTATTTTGATTGTAATTGTGAAATTTTATTACTTAATAAAAAAAAATTATTATTTAATTATAATTGTTAAATAGTTATTTTAAGTTTATAATTATTTAAGTTTTTAAATTAATATTTTATTAATTAATTTTATAATTAAATAATTTATTAAATTATTTGTAATTAATAATAAAATTAAATAATTAAAATTATTAATATAAATAAAGTAAAAAGAAGAAAACGGAAAAAAAAATTATCCAGACCCTTTCA